TGAAAACATAGCCAAAGTGCGAGGTGCGCGGGCCCACAGAAAGGGCTCTGAGTGCCCCCTCTAGCACGCGTGCCACAGGTTCGTCACCACTCGTTTATGTCGTCGTCACAAGACGCAGCAGCAGGAACACAGAAAAACTCACCCAGACAGCCTTTGAAATGTGTTGCAAAAGGGTTAAAAACAACAACAACATCAGAGCAGGGAAGCGTTCCAAAAACAGACGGCACCAGCGCTGAACAAAATTACGAAGGAAGGATTAAAAATCATGATGTGGTTTGTGAATTAAATTGTTCAATTAGAGTACAGGCCGGCTTCCACTTACGGCCCCAAATTTACGTTGCTAAGGGAGGAATCTCTGAAGTGCGCTTTGCCCCACGTTACGACTTTTCTGGCCGCGGTTATTAAGGGAATCGCTGCAGCGGTTGCATGAGTCACACAGTCGTTAAGCGAACCCGGCTTCAGGACTTTGCTTGTGTCAAAAGGTCGCAAAATTTCAAGACTTTGCTGGTGTCAAAAGGTCGCAAAAGGGGATCACGTGAGCCCGGGACACTGCGACCGTCGTAAATGTGAGTCAGTTGCCAATTCTGATCCCGTGGCCAGGGAGATGCTGCGACGGTCGTAAGGGTGGAAAATGATTGTAGGTCCCTTTTTTCCAGTGCTGTTCTAACTTTGAACGGTTGCTAAACGAACTTTTGTAAGTCCAGGGCTACCTGCCAATGTGCTGCTTCGTGTGTGTGTGTGTGTGTGTGTGTGTGTGTGTGTGTGTGTGTGTCGCTGGGTGTGTTATTTGAGACACGCATGAGTCACGGTTATGGCCAAGCGGCTGACTTTTGAGACGCTCCGGCTAGGGATGGTGTGGTCTTCTCCGTTGACCTACAAATGTCCGTCCCCTGTCACTGATACTGGACATGGGTGGCCAGGAAAACTAAGAATATCGAGGAAATATTTGGGCTGCTCATTCAGACCCTGTTCCTTTGCTGGGTGGACGGCCGAGCTGGACGGAGATGGACTGTGAGATCATGCGTTGACCTCAGAGGACCCAAAGCCTCTTCTTCTGGAGAAGGTCCGCCAGCTGGACGGTTGAGAATAGAATAGAAAATGGAATAGAATAGAATAGAATTGAATAATAAAACAGAATAGAACAGAAATATAGAATAGAAATACAGAATAGAATTGGATAGGATAGGATAGGATAGAATAATAAAATACAGAATAGAATACAAATATAGAATAGAATAATAAAATACAGAATAGAATAGAATAGAATAATAAGATACAGAATAGAATAGAATAGAATAGAATAGAATAGAATAATAAAATACAAAATAGAATAGAATAGAATAGAAAAGAATGAAAATAGGGAATAGAATAGAATAATAAAATACAGAATAGAATAGAATAATAAGATACAGAATAGAATAGAATAGAATAGAATAGAATAATAAAATACAAAATAGAATAGAATAATAAAATACAGAATAAAATAGAATATTAAATATAGTGGCACCCCGATGCCAGCCTGGTACTCCTATTTTTCTACATCCATCCGGTGGTTTTGCCCCCAGCCCAGTGCAAGGCTCTTTCTGCAGTTCCCCCCCCCAAAAGGGGAGATCATCTGCTATTCATTGGCACCCCAGTATTCTGGGGACTGGTCGAGGATTATGGGCATTGCAGTCCGATGCCTCTGGAGGGCACCCCCATTGGGGAAGAAGGCGTCTGCCAGTTGCCCTCCTTCCAAGGGGAGAAGGCTCCAGAGCCAGTCAGCTTGAGATTCCGAGATGCTGTGCCTTTAAGGGGCTGAGCCCCCCCCCCAGGCCAGGCGCAAGGGCTGGGCCAGGGGGTCTCCCAGTGGCCCTGGACCACCCGTCTCCATGGAGCCGGAGCCCTCTGCCTCTGGGAACGGTGAGTTCCCCTCCCAAGAGGGAAGGGGGGAAGTGTTGCCACAGCAACCAGTTGCCTCCAGGATGGCCCAACTGCCAGGGACCCCCCTCCCCACCTGGTTCCATCCCCTTCAGGTCTCTAGGATGCCCGTAGGCTTCTAAATTGCACCCAGGGCCAGGCTAGGGAAGGGGGGGGGGTTCACCCACCTGGCACCTGGGGGGGGGCTTCACACCCACTCCCACTAACAGAGACCCTCCTGCCTCCAGGATCAGCCACTTTCTGTTGCCAACTGATTGCTCAAAATCCTTGCTCCTTTGCTTGGTAGTTTGAGTTTGTTTCTACTCAAACCATGATTAAAAAAAAAAAACCTGGTTTAGCAAAGGCGGGATGGACGCCATCCTGATCTCTTTGTCCTTCCAGCCCACCTGGGTCAGTGTGATTTTAATCACCTTTCGTTGAAGGTTTTTTATTATTATTATTTATTTAAACGGGGGGGGGGGTTATTCAATTCGGTTCAAATTTAATTTTTCCTGTTGTGGGGCGGGGCCTGTTTTTTCTTGCGTGAATGTCACAAACCATTTACAACTTCGGCTGTGAGAGCCTTCGAAGGGAATTAAAATGAGGAATAGCTGTCTCGGTTGGGGGGGGGAGACAGTGAATTTATGTCCCATAACCTCTGGCAAGAATTTCCTGGACATTAGAATTTGAGTCTCGAATCTCAGAGAGGAGCAAATAAATGCAGGGAGTCCTTGACTTGTGACTACAAAGGAGCCCAAAATTTCTGTCGTTAAGCGGGACACTTTTTCTGAGAGTTTTGTTCCATTCTTGCCCCCGTTGTTAAGGGAATCACTGTAGTTGTTCAATGAATAACACAGTTGTTAAGTGAATCTGGCTTGACTTCGTCGGACAGAAATGCGAATTTACTTCATTGTAATGTGGGAAGAGAAACTGGGTCCAGTTCCAAGCTGGGAATAAAATGGAGGCTGCTTTTGGAAGAAGGTCTCTTTATTGATTAGCAGAACCAGCATAGGGTTCAGGGGCAGCTGACAAAATGGTGTTGAGAGTGGGTAGATTTTTATTCCTTCTTTGAGCTTTGAGGTTGTTCCTGTTCCTGTGCCATGCCCTTTGACCTCAGCTTGAGCGTGCCCTTTCGGTATTTTTAATTATTGTTGCCTGACTCCCATTGTGGCTGGGGTGTGTGTGTGTGTCATATCCTGTCCTTGGAGGTGGGTGGGGGACTGTAAATATTTGGAGTCTTTGTTTTTCTAATCCCATCGTCTCCAAGCTTCCTGACTCCAGTTTCCCTGCATGGATTAGAAAATCTGCATTTCTAAAAAGTGGTCTCCTGAATTTCTGCTTGGTGGACCATTCCCTATTTCTCCTTTTGGGGAAATATAATATTCTGCCCTTTTTAAATATTCCCCAAAATATCACAAAGATGCTTTTTCAGGAGGCAACTGGACTTTCTTGTTTTTCTTTGAAGACGTTTCGCTTCTCATCCAAGAAGCTTCTTCAGCTCCCCAAAATATTTCATTCTCTGGTGTGTGTGTGTGTGTGTGTGTGTGTGCTGACTCCCTACAGCAGGCATAGGCAACCTTGGCTCTTTTGTGACTGGTGGACTTCAACTCCCAGAATTCCTGAGCCAGCAGGGCTCAGCTTGGAAACCTCTCCCTTTCCCCTCAGCATGGCTGGCTCAGGAATTCTGGGAGTTGAAGTCCATGAGTCATGAGGGGGCCATAGTTCCCCCATGCTGGCTCAGGAATTCTGGGAGTTGAAGTCCACGAGTCATGAAGGGGCCATAGTTCCCTCATGCTGGCTCAGGAATTCTGGGAGTTGAAGTCCATTAGTCATGAGGGGGCCATAGTTCCCTCATGCTGGCTCAGGAATTCTGGGAGTTAGTCCACCAGTCATAAAAGAGCCAAGGTTGCCTACCCCTGGCCTAGGAGGCTCACTACTTAGAACAGGAGGACTTAGGCCAGGAGTAGGCAACCTTGGCTCTTTTATGACTGGTGGACTTCAACTCCCAGCATTCCTGAGCCAGCCTGGCTCAGCTTGGAAACCTCTCCCTTTCCCCTCAGCATGGCTGGCTCAGGAATGCTGGGAGTTGAAGTCCACCAGTCATAAAAGAGCCAAGGTTGCCTACCCCTGCCCTACAGTAACCTAGTTTGACATCATGTTGAACTTCTTCAAGAAACTGACTGGTTAATGTCCAGACCGAGGGGTGAATTCTGGGAGTTGAAGTCCACCCATCGTAAAAGTTGAGTAACACGGAATCAGACCACGCGCCTTTCCCAACCACGTTCCCTTTGTGGACCTCAAAGGCTCTTTCTGTCTCCTGTTGACGTCTCCACCTCAAACCAGGTCTTACCCAGCCAGCTTCTTCTCAGTCCCCCCAATCCAGTTTTCTCACCCTCCGTCCCATTTCTTCGTCCTCCCCCTCCCCTCCAGCCCAGATGCGTTTGCGGAAGGACGAGTTCGATTCCCTACAAGCCACAAAAGACATGGAGCTGGAGCAGGTGGCCCAGGAACTTCAGGATGCCCACCAGGAGATCCACAGCCTGCGCCTGGAGGCCGAGGAGGTGGCCGCCGTGCACGAGAACGAGATCGCCAGCTTACAAGAGGAGCTTTGCCGGCTGAAAGCCGAGCTGGAACGGGTCCAACAGACCCACAAGGAATACGAAATGGAGGTCACCGCCCTGCGTGCCGAAATCCGGATGAGGCAGGAATCGGCTCCCGAAAGCAGCGCTGTCGTGGGGGGAGACACCCTCCAGGAGCCACGGCCGCCCAGCCCGTCTCAGGAAGTAGCTCGGCTCAAAGGTACCTCTTTTGTATTGGGGTAACTACCCCGGGGCTCTCTCTCTCTCTTGTTTGTTTGTTTTAATTTATTCATTCATTCAGTTTCTGTAGCCTCCGCCAAGTCAACCGAGTGAGTTTGGGAGGCTTGGAATCTAAATCAGTGGTTCTCAACCTTTTTAATGCCGCGACCCCCCAACCGGTCGTAAATCGAGGACTACTCAACTGGTGCAGCCCCGTTTGCAGACTGGGACTTTTGGCGGGCTCAGCAGGGCAGAGACAGCCTGGACAATTCCTATTGGCTTTGGAAAGCCAATAGAATTAGACTTTATTCAAGAGAGTCTCTTCTATTGGCTTTCAAAAGCCAATAGAATAAAAGGGAGGAGCACAGCTAAGGAAAAGGGGAAAAAAAATGGCGGACTGCGTTGTTTGGCGACCCCCGTGAAATGGTCCTTCGACCCCAAATGGGGTCCCGACCCACAGATGGAGAACCACTGGTCTAAATCGTAAGGCTTTTACATTCCTCCAGGGGTGAAAAGAGGTCAACATACATCATGGTAACAACCACAACTTGGGCAGGGGGTTGCACTAGAACCGGGCTCTCCAAATTTGTGGGCTTTAAGGCTGATTGACTTCAACTCTGAGAATTCCTCAGCCAATTATGCTGGCTGGGGAATTCTGGGAGTTGAAGTCCACAAGTCTTAAAGTGGCCAAGGTTGGAGACCCCCCCTCCCAACTGAGGAATTCTGGGAGTTGAAGTCCAGAAGTCTTAAAGTTGCCATGTTTGGAGGCCCCTAGCTGAGGAATTCTGGGAGTTTGAGTCCACAAGTCTTAAAGTTGCCATGTTTGGAGGCCCCTAGCTGAGGAATTCTGGGAGTTTGAGTCCAGAAGTCTTAAAGTTACTAAGTTTGGAGGTCCCTGACTGAGGAATTCTGGGAGCTGGCTTTCATGGCTAAGGGGGCACTCGAATTCACAGTCTCCTGGTGATTGGCCCAAAGTCACCCGGCTTTCGTGGTTAAGGCGGGACTAGAACTCACCATCTCCTGGTTTCTAGCCTGGAACCTTCACCAAACTGACATAAACATTAAATCTCTTAACCTGGAACTGACCCTGTTTCTAAGAAATTGTAGATAGGTTTTGCTGTACAGAACTCCTGGTTGAATGTGGGGATGCTTAGAATCTGGGCTCATTTGGCCTTGCAGGAGAGAGAGTTTATGGAATACTAGGGCTGGAAAGGACCAGTCGGGGGTGGGGGGCAGGGGGTTGGACTAGAAGACCTTCAAGGCCCCTTTCAACTCTGTTATTTGTGTTACTTTGGAGGACTGTGACTTCCTTTCATCCCTACTCCTGTGGTTTGCAGATGAGCTGGAAACGGTGCAAATCCAATACGCGGATCTGAGAGAAGAGTTCCAGATCTTGCAGGCTAGCAACAAGCTCATGGTCCACCAGCTGGAGAAGCTTGAAACCATGAAATACAAGTATGTTTTGGTATTTCTGCTACTGGGGCAGCAGCTCCACCTGGAGATGGATGGGAATGTTCTGGGTGATGGAGAATGGGGTGTGGATGGATCTCTCTAGCTCCATGTGATTTACTTCAACCTGGTGGTCTCCCAAAGGGATGACCCACCTCCAGGTTCCTTGGGAATCAGATGGGTTGTCCCAAAGTGAAGTCAACTCCAGTTCCATTCCAGAGGTCAAAGTGCATCTTATCTCTCTTCCCATTTAATTTGCATTTTTAAGAAGCAAATTACATGGAAAAGTGCTGATGGTAACCATCTTGAGGCTCAAGAGGACATCATAACCCTCTCCTTCCCTGTTGGAAGTCTGAGAAAAATCAGAGGAGACTAGATGACCTCTGAAGCCCCTTCCAGTGTCTGGATTCTGAGTTCTGAGGCCTCGGGTCCTGTTCAGGTCCAGGGTGATGGGCTTGCAGTGCTTCAAGATGGAGTCCTGGTTGAAGCTGCCTGATCATCTCTGTCTCTTCTTCATATTCTAGAGCAGTGTTTCCCAAACTTGACAATTTTAAGGCATGAGGACTTCAACTCCCAGAATTCCTGGGAGTTGAAGTCCACATGCCTTAAAATTGTCAAGTTTGGGAAACACTGCTCTAGAGTAGGAGTCTCCAGCTTGGCCACTTTTAAGACATGTGGACTTCAACTTTGTGAAGTTCACAAATCTTAGTGGCCTTGTTTGGAGACCCCAGAATTAAACCATGCTGGCTGTAGAATTCTGGGAGTTGAAGTCCACAAGTCTTAAAGTGGCCAGGTTTGGAGACCCCTGGGGCAAAGCATGGTGAGTGGGTCTCCAGGTAGTGTGATTTGGCGGGTAAGACAGTGTCTTCACCCTCCATGTTGCTTGAGTAACAGGTAACCAAGGTGGAGATGTTCCCTCCTGGTCTCCTGGCCTATTTCCTAACACCGGGTCTACCACTTTTGGAAGACTCGGTGCTGGTTATGCCCGTGTAGTCTTTCTTATGGGCTGGAGGATAGGAGGAGAGGTGTGGATGAAGCTGTAGGACTCTCACGCTGCATCAAGAGGGACAACGCTCATTCTGATCCAGAAGTGCCAAAGGTGAAAGGCAAGTGACTTTCTGAGGAGTTGAAGTTCACAAGTCTTAAAGTGGCCACGGTTGGGGAGCCCTCACTAAAGCCAATCTCCCACAGCAAGTACCGAAGCAAGGTGGAGGACACCCCATCTCTGGAGTCCATTGCTCAATGGCCCACGGATCGCCGCTACTCCCTCATGAAGCAGCCCTCCAACCAGAAGGGCAGCTGTGTCTCCTTCTGGTCAGTCGAAATTGTCGGTGTGGCAAGCGACTACAACGAGGAGGAGAGGATGGAGAAGGTGGAAGAGGAGAATGAGGTGGACCTCCTGTATCAGCTGGCCACGGAGGAGGAGACGGTGGAGAAGGTCCAGACCCAGGTGGCTATTTAGGTTACAGTGCATTCATTGATTGGATTGATTTTATAGTGTATCTCTCTGTCCGTCCATCCATCCATCCATCCATCCATCCATCCATCCATCCATCCATCCATCTATCTATCTATCTATCTATCTATCTATCTATCTATCTATCTATCTAATAGCGTATTTATTTTTTAAATTGATTTTATAGTGTATTATTTATTTTATGGTATATTTATTTAGTCATTTTATAGTGTATTCATTTCTTTAGTTATTTTATAGGGTACCGTATTTATTTAATTGATTTTACAGGGTATTTATTTAATTGATTTTGTATTTATTTATTTAATTGATGTTATAATCTGTCTATCTATTTTATAGTGCATTTATTTAATTGATTTTATCTATCTATCTATCTATCTATTAGCGTATTTTTAAAATTGATTTATAGTATATTATTTATTTTATAGTGTATTCATTTATTTAGTTATTTTATACTGTATCTATTTAATTGATTTTGTAGTGTATTTATTTATTTAATGGATTTTGTGGTGTATTTATTTATTTAATTGATTTTATAGTCTATCTATCTCTATCTATCTATTAGCGTATTTATTCATTTAACTGATTTTATAGTATATTATTTATTTTATAGTGTATTCATTTATTTAGTTATTTTATACTGTATTTATTTATTTTGATTTTACAGTGTAATTGATTTTGTAGTGTGTTTATTTAATTGATTTTAGTCTATCTATCATCTATTTAACAGTTATTTAATCGATTTCATAGTGTATTTATGGAATTGATAATTTAGTTATTTTATAATCTATCCGTGTATCTAATAGTGTACCTATTTATTTAACAGATCTTATAGTGTATTTATTTTATTTTACACTGCATTTATTTATTTATTTATTTAACGGTGCATTTATTTATTCATTCAATTTATACAACCACGCAAAGTCAGTCGCTCATGTAGCTTTGAAGCCACAAGGAGAACGAGCAAGACAAAAAAAAAAAAATTTTTTTAAAAAGTGCCCCACCTGAACATATCAAACAATCGATTAGTGGTCCGACAATTACGGGTAGTCCTTGACTTACACCGGCTCTCTTAGTGACTGTTTGCAGTTGCAACGGCACTGGAAAAAAGTGACCTGTGACCCTTTTTTCACACTTACGGCCGTTGCAGCATCCCCCGTGGTCACAGGATCCAAATTCGGGCGCTTGGCAACCGACTCGCATTTACGACGGCCGCGGTGTCCCCCAGGGGTCACGCGACCCCCTTGGGCAGCCGAGCCGAGTCAACGGGGAAGCGGGATTCACTTAACAGCCGTGTCGCTAACTCAAACAAGCGCAAGACAGGTCATGAAATGGGGCAAAGCTCACTTAAGCAATGTCTCGCTTCGCGACGGGAATCTTGCTAAGCCCAATTGTGGTTGTAAGTCGAGGACTACTTGTAGAAGAAGCAGGCTCGTCCAGCGCCCTGGTCTAAGGCCTTACGGAAGGTCAAGTAAGGGAGGCCATCTGAACCTCAAGTGGTGGTATGGTCCAAAGGACAGGCGGGGAGAGCAGGAAGGCACGTCTCCTGGAGCCCACCGGGTGATATGGCTTCCGAGAAGAAGCCTGGAGATTGTCCACCCTGTCAGTTCTTCTAAGATGGGTGGTCCATGGGTGACCTGGTCCTACGAAGGAGTGGGTGGAAAACCCTAGCAACTGATCAGTTGTCAAGGCTGGAGACCCCTGAGAGGAAGGCTGAAGATCAAATGTGAGGGATTGAGAAGGGATGGGACATTCAAGATCTTTAGGAGAACCAGAAAGTTCTCCTGGTCAGTTGTCTAGAACGTGGAGGGAAGAGGGCAAAGAGGGAGTATCCAGCTGAAGAGAAGAGAGAAGGGACAAAGATATGGGTGGAGAGGATGGGGCGACTGAAAAGCCACCTCAGAAGAGCTGGTGATGGAGCCGCTTGATGCTTCCTTTCCCATCCTGTTCTTGCCCTGCTAGGGCAACATGTCCCAGTGCATTCTGGCTGAGATGGAGAATGAGGACCAGCATGGCTCCCAAGAGCTAGATGTTAGGAGACGACCGAGAAGGAGGAGAGACTCTGATGCCCGTAAGGTAGGAAAAGAGGGCAGGAGGGTGGGAAGGCCAACTAAGCTTCATGGTGGAGAAGGATCAGCTCAACCCCATCCTAGATGTTTCTGGAGCTCATCTGAGGGCTTCAGTCCTGTCTCCTGATCAGGGGACATCATAGTGGCCAACGTTGCAGGGCGGTTATGAGATCAGAGAAGAAGAACCATCCAGTGAATTAGAAAAAGAAATGAGTATCCATGTGGAGAGTGACGCATTGTTGCTAAAAGACATCCAAGGTCCTCACTATCTTATGGTCATATCAGAAGGGTTGGGACATTCAAGAACTTTAGGAGGACCAGAAAGTTATCCTGGGTCAGTTGTCTAGAACTTGGAGACCCAAACGTGAATTGAGGAGGACTTTCCTGACTTGGAGAGCTGTAGATGTTCCATCATTGGTGGTCTTCAAGAAAGGACTGGACAGAAATACGTCCAGAATGGTAGGATGTTTCCTACCATGGGTAGGAAGGTTGAGTAGAAGACATCCAAGGTGCCCTTCCACCCTATAATTCTATGAGAAGGGATGGGCCACTCAAGAAATTTAGGAGGACCATGACGTTCTCCTGGATCATTGTCTAGACCTTGGAGGGCAGAGAGGAGACACAGGTGGGGAGGATGGGGTGATAGAAAAGCCACCTCAGGAGAGATGGTGGTGGAGCTATGCTATGCTTCCTCTCCCATCCTCTTCTTGCCTGCCAGGGCATTATAGCCCAGTTGAACCTGCCAGAAATGGACAGAGAGGAACATCCGTCCAACCAAGAACTGATCAGTAAGAGAAGATCGAGGAGGAGAGAATCCTTGAGAGAAGGGAAAGAAGATGACCTTAAGAATTGGAGGGAGAAGGGAAAGAATAAAGAGTTTCTTCTTCTTGACCCAGAACTGAACGAAAGTCCAGGGAGGCAAGGGCAGGTAAGCTTAATGGTGGAGAAAGATCAGGTCAGGCCTGTTCTGGGTGGTTTCTCGGATTCATCTGGGGACCTCAGTCCTGCATCTTGATCAGGGGACATCATGGTGGCCAACCTTGCAGATCATAGAAAGAGAACCATCCTGTGCATTGGCAAAGAGCTGAGTGTGCACGTGGAGTGACCCCATCCTTGCTAAGGTCTTCAGGTCCTTGTGGGTCAGTCAAGTTGAAAGTCTTCTAGCCCATATGATGCATGTGACATACTTGATAGATGTCTTCAAGGAGGGTCCCAAACCAACTCTGATTCTTGCTGTTGGCTTTGTAGCTTGAGATCTTGAATGGGAAGCAAGGGTGGACTTCTTTTAGCTCAATGTTGCTGTGGTCTGGACATTCTTCTGGGTTGTCTACAACTGGGAGTTGTCTACAACTTGGAGGAGAGGTCCAAACAAATTGAGGAGGAATTACCTGACTTGAAGAGCTGTTAAGTGGAGCTGTGGGCGCTCCATCGCTAGTGGTCTTCAAGAAAGGACTGGACAGCTGTTTGTCTAGAATGGTGGGAGGGTTCTTGCTTGGGCAGGAGGGTTAACTAGAAGACATCCAAGGTGCCTTTCAACCCTATGACTCTACAAGAAGAGATGGCCCATTCAAGAACTTTGGGAAGACCAGGAAGTTCTCCTGGGCGATCTACAACTTGGAGGATTGAGGGCAGAGGGGAGAGAAAGATATGGGTGGGAATGATGGGATGACAGAAAGGCCACCTCAGGAGAGATGGTGAGGGAGCTTCCGCTCCCACCCTCTTCTTCCTTGCTAGGGCTTTAAGGCCCAGTTTAATGTGCCAGAAATGGAGAGAGAAGACGAGTCTTCCCACCAAAGTCCAAGCAATGAGAGAAGATCGAGGAGCAGAGAATCCCAGAGAGAAGGGAAAGAAGATGGCCCTAAGTATTGGAGGGAGACAAGCTGGAAGAGAGAGTCTTCCCTTGAGGCTGAGCAAGCTCCAGGGAGGGAAGGGCAGGTAAGCTTAATGGTGGACAGGGATCAGCTCAGCCTCATTCTAGATCAGTGGTTCTCAACCTTTTTAATGCCGCGACCCCCAACTGGTCGTAAGTCGAGGACTACCCAACCGGTCGTAAGTCGAGGACTACCCAACCGGTTGTAAGTTGAGGACTTTCCCTACCCGGGAGCGCCACGCATGCGTGGTGCTGCCCCCTGCGCCGGCCGAGGCGTAGCTGGCAAGCGGCAGAGACGGCGTAGGCCGACCACTGGCTGGGCCCCCAGCTGGCCCATCCCAAGGGAGGTAAGGCACCCACCGGGCCCCACGCGCGCCAGCAACCCTCCCTGCGCCCGCCGGCCTCCCACCTCCCACCCCTGGCCCTCTTTTCCTTACATTGTTAGTAGTTGCTCAGCAGGGAGGGGTGGAAGCTTCCAGACAGCTCGCCTTCGCTGCAGACAACTCGCAGCACCGTTTGCAGAATGGGACTTTTGGCGGGCTCAGCAGGGCAGAGACAGCCTGGACAATTCCTATTGGCTTTTGAAAGCCAATAGAATTAGACTCTATTCAAGAGAGTCTCTTCTATTGGCTTTCAAAAGCCAATAGAAGAAAAGGGAGTAGCACAGCTAAGGAAAAGGGGGGAAAAATGGCGGACTGCGTTGTTTGGCGATCCCCGTGAAATGGTCGTTCGACCCCAAATGGGGTCCCGACCCACAGGTGGAGAACCACTGTTCTAGATGGTTTCTGGGGCTCATCTGAGGACCTCAGAAATTGGGGATACCCTAGTGGCCCAACTGCAGAACGGTCGTAAGATCCGAGAAAGAGAACTGTCCAGTTAGTTTCTAGCCTGTATGATGGACTTCAAGTGTCTCTTCAAGTAATTGAGGTTAGTCTTCAAGGAGAGCTCCAATCAAACCCTGGTTCTTGCAGTTGGCTTTGTGATTTGAGATCTTGAATGGGAAATACAGATAATAGACATCGAATAATTGATGTTAGTCTTCAAGGAGGGCCCCAATCAAACCTTGGTTCTTGCAGTTGGCTTTGTGGTTTGAGATCTTGAATGGGAAGATAATAGACATCAAATACTTGATGTTGGTCTTCAAGGAGGGCCCCAATCAAACCCTGGTTCTTTGTGGTTTGAGAGCTTGAACGGGAAACCCAGATGATGGACGTCAAGTACTTGATGTTAGTCTTCAAGGAGGGCCCCAAACCAACCCTGGTTCTTGCAGTTGGCTTTGTGGTTTGAGAGCTTGAATGGGAAGTCCAGATAATAGACATCAAATAATTGATGTTAGTCTTCAAGGAGGATCCCAATCAAACCCTGGTTCTTGCAGTTGGCTTTGTGGTTTGAGATCTTGAATGGGAAGCCTAGATGATGGACCTCAAGTAGTTGATGTTAGTCTTCAAGGAGGGCCCCAATCAAACCTTGGTTCTTTGTGGTTTGAGAGCTTGAACGGGAAGCCCAGATGATGGATCTCAAGTACTTGATGTTAGCCTTCAAGGAGGGCTCAAATCAAACCCTGGTTCTTGCAGTTGGCTTTGTGGTTTGAGAGCTTGAACGGGAAGCAGAGGTGGACTTGTTTTAATCAACATTACTGTGGTTTGTGGTGAAATGTGACATCCCAGAGGCGGCTCTAATCTGTGATTTTGGACAGGGCACCATGAACCCAAAATAATAATAATAATAGTAAAGTTGGAAGGGACCTTGGAGGTCATCTAGTCCAACCCCCTGCTCGGGCAGGAAACCCTACACCATTTCGGACAAATGGCTGTCCAGTCTCTTCTTAAAAACTTCCAGTGTTAAGAGGCACATCCTAATTATCGGTAACGTAGGACAGATAGTCCTGGACTTAACCACAGTTCATTTAGTGACCGTTCCAAGTTACAACGGCGCTGCAAAAAGTGACTTATGGCCGTTTTTCACACGTACGACCGTTGCAAGTACCCGCACGGTCACGGTCAACTGTGGAGAGCCGTCAGCGGGACCCTCCGTGACGGTTATCCTTCTTCTCGGTTTGACAGCATCACCGAGCACAGCAAGACCTGCGCGAACTGGAAGACAGGTACCGCCACAGCCAGGAGGAGTGGGAGCAGCTTCAGGAGGACCTCCGCCTGTGCAAGGAGGAGATTGAAAGGCTGAACGGCAACATCCCGACAGGAGGACGGGTAAGGCCGTTGGCACCCCGGCTATCTCGGAGAGGGAGGGGGCTTCTCGCCCAGGTGGCATTCAGAGGCCCGGCGCAAGTGGAGGTCCTCCACATTGGCCGCGCCAAGGAGCCAGGTGTGCAGATCCAGAGATGTTTTCACGATAATCAAATCGTCCAGCAGAGCAGCGTTACGTTCTTGGTGCTGTCTGAACTTGGGTTGTTTACTTCAAGGTGTTGCATGACCCAAACTAGGCATCATCATCAGTGCTAGAACTCAAGGGGGTTTGTGGGAGAGGAGGGAGGAGAAGGAGGAGGAGGAGGAGAAGGAAGTCCTTGGTGCTCTCTGAGCTTGGCGGTTTTCTTGTAGACCTTTCATGACCCAAACTAGACAACGTCATCAGTGCTAGTCAACTGAATGACACAATGAAACATCTGCAAGGAAGCCACCAAGCTCAGAGAGCCACCAGGAAGTTCTCCGTCTTGGGTGGTCAAGGCTTAAGACGGTCAACAGATATGGAGTCTCTCTTTGGTTGCCCGTTTTGTGCATGTTCTTTCTAAAGTTCTGAGGACCACAATCCAAGAAGGAGGCTGAGGAACGGGAAAGAGCAACTGAGATGGTGAAGGTCTTGGAGGTGATATCCCGCAAAGAGCAGTTGAAGGAACTGGGTTTGTTTAGCCTAAAGGAACAGAAGGTTAAGCATCTTCCAAGTCCTTGAAAAATTGCCCCAAGGAATGGGTTGGGGAGGTCTTCTCCAGAACATCCAAAGGTATGAGAGGACCCAACTGTTGGTAGATGGATCTTATTAAGCTTCCTTTTTTTGTTGTTGTTCTTCTCTTGGGTGATCTGGAGAATAGCTCCACACACTCCTTCCATGGGGCAGCCCTCCAAAATCAGGAGGAATGTCTTGAATTGAGTTCTGGATCAGTGCCCATATCTTAAGTTCTCCCTGGGGCTACCAGAACCTCACCATTGCCACTGGAACTCTTCTGGAGGCATCTCTGCGGCCGATTGGGAAGGATTCGTCCGTTCGTCCCAAGTCCTAGCCGACTTTCCCGAGAGACCTTTTGCAAACCTGGTTAAATTCTCTGCCGAGCCCTGTGGCCTTTAAGCAGGTTTGAAGCCCACCAAACGTGGCCCAGGGTTCAAGTCCTGGATCCTTCGGCCCAGGCCATCTCTAATCTTTTTCTTTTTCTCTCCTCCTCCTCCTCCTCCTCCTCCTCTTCCTCCCTATCTCTCATCCGCCTTTTCGGTGGCTTCATGTCTGAATGGCATTTCGCGCTCCCCCCCCTCCCCACCAGGTCTCTCCCCCCCCCAGCTCTCCCACCATCTCCCTCCCTCTCATAGGACTGATTGTCATAGTGGCCCTGCTCTGGTGCTGGTGGGCTGAGACCTCGTCCTAAAAGCCAACCAGGTATTCGACTCGGCATTCTCCGCCCGGCTGTGCTGTGTGTCTGGGCCGCTGCGTCCCTTCCTGGCATGCGCCGTTTCCTGCCTGCCCCTTTTTGCGGAGACATCCCACCCGCCCACCCCGCCATGTTAATACACACGCTCCCCGTCCTTTCCTGCCCTTTCCTTTTCCTCTTCCACCTGCACGACCCCTCTGGCGGAGTCGGGACTGAGCTGTTTCTAGGAGGAATTTATCGGTGGTTGAGTGAGGCGCTGAGGAGCATCCGGGCGGATCTCTGGAGTAGCGGGATTTGGAAGTCCGAGAAGTTCTCCCTTGTGGACTTCAACTCCCAGAATTCCTGACTCACCCTCTAGGACAGTGTTTCCCAAACTTGACAATTTTAAGGCATGTGGACTTCAACTCCCAGAATTCCACAGCCAGCGTTGCTGGCTGTGGAATTCTGAGAGTTGAAGTCCTCATGCCTTAAAATTGTCAAGTTTGGGAAACACTGCTCTAGGAAATAGGTCTTCTGCAAGAGTCCCAGCCTGTCATTTTGTGACAGTACCCTAAGGAGCCACTTGGTGGCGCAGTGGTTAGAATGCAGTATTGCAGACCGACTCTGCCCACCGCCAGGAAGTTTGATCCTGACGGTTCAATGTTTCACTCAGCCTTCCGTCCTTCCGAGGTCAGTTAAAATGAGGACCCAGATCGTTGGGGGCAAGAGGCTGACTCTGTAAACCGCTTAGAGAGGGCTGTATATAAGAGGTATATAAGCCTAAGGGCTATTGCAAAGTGGGAAGGAAGGAAGGAAGGAAGGAAGGAAGGAAGGAAGGAAGGAAGGAAGGAAGGAAGGAAGGGAAGGAAGGGAAGGAAGGAAGGAAGGAAGGAAGGAAGGAAGGAAGGAAGGAAGGAAGGAAGGAAGGAAGGAAGGAAGGAAAAAAGAGCCCTGGTGGGGCAGTGCTTAGAACGCAGCATGGCAAACTAATTCTGCCGACTGTCTGGAGTTCGATTCTGACTGGCTCAAGGTTGACTCAGCCTTCTGTCCTTTCAGGGTCGGTAAAATGAGGACCCAGGTTGTTGGGGGAAAATAGGCTGACTCTGTAAAATTGCTTAGAGAGGGCTGTAAAGCACTGTGAAGCAGGATATAAGGCTAAGCGCTCTTTCTATTACACTTTATCTATTTGGCCCCCTATGTGGTAAGACCAGGGGTAGGCAACCTTGGCTCTTTTATGACTCGTGGACTACAACTCCCAGAATTCCTCAGCCAGCATGGGGGAACTATGGCCTCCTTTAGGACTCGTGGACTTCAACTCCCAGAATTCCTGAGCCAACATGGGGGAAAGTATGGCCCCCTCATGACTCGTGGACTTCAACTCCCAGAATTCCTGAGCCAGCATGGCTCAGCTTGGAAACCTCTCCCTTTCCCCTCAGCATGGCTGAGCCATGCTGGCTCAGGAATTCTGGGAGTTGAAGTCTACGAGTCATGAGGGGGCCATAGTTCCCCCATGCTGGCTCAGGAATTCTGGGAGTTGAAGTCCACCAGTCATAAAAGAGCCAAGGTTGCCTACCCCTGGGTTAGACACACAAAGAATTAGTTTCCGGTATAGAAGTACTCAGTATACAAGGAGTCCTCAACATACGACCACAGTTGAAGCCCAAATTTCTGTTGCGAAGCTGTTAGGTGACTTTTGCTCCATTTTACGACCTTGCTTGTCCGCATTGTTAAGCGAATCACTCCAGTGGTCAAATTAGGAACGAGGTTGTTAAGTGAATCCGGCTTCCCCCCCATTGACTTTGCTTGTCAGAAGGTCGTTAAAGGGGATCACATGACACTGGGACACCACAACCGTCATAACTATGAATCAGTTGCCAAATGTCTGAATTTGGATCAGGTGACCATCGGGAGGTGGCAATGGTCGTAAGTAGGAAAATGGTCATGAGTCCCTTTTTAAAGTAGCGTTGTAAGCTTGAATAATCACTAAGTGAATCGTCGTAACTAGAGGACTCTCTGTACTTGCAAAGCAACAGAATATGAAAATAATGCTAAACTTACAGCCAGTAAAAGGGAGAAGTAAACAATAATAAAGGGGATTAAATAATAATACTGCAGCCACACCTGATGGGTTAATTATGAGACAGCTCACAGCAGTACAGGTAGTCCTCGATTTACGACCACAAATGTGGTCAGAATTTCCATGGTTAAGCCAGGCGGCTGTTAAGTGAGTCACATCCAATTTTACAACCTTTTTTGGCCACAGTTATTAAACGAATCGCTTCAGTTGCTAACTGAATCATGCAGTCACTAAGCGAATCTGGCCTCCTGCATTGACTTTGCTAGTCGGAGCAAAGGTAGTAAAGTGGGGCAGGGCTTACTTAACCATTGTCCCACTTAGTGACAGGAATTTGTGATCATAAGTCGAGGACTACCTGTAAAATAAAAAAAATGAAGGTGCTGAGCGACATGCAGTCAGTCCTCGTACTTATGACGTTGCAGGGTCCCCACGGTCACGCTTTGTGACTCTCTATTCCGGCATCTACAAGCAAGGTAAATGGGGATCCCAAACAACGGCCACCCTGATGTCTTCACTTAAAGACGACCCAAGATTCGCTCCATGGTCACAAGGCGGAAGGGCGGAACCGCCACCTGTCAACAGTGCATTCGCAGGACGGCCGTGTTGCTTGGCAACAGGAATTCGGATCCCGATTGCCATCGTTAAGCGAGGGCAACTTAATCCACTTTAATGTTGTTGGCCTATGTCAGGGGTAAGCAACCTTGGCTCTTGTATGACTCGTGGACTTCAACTCCCAGAATTCCTGAGCCAGCATGGGGGAACTATGGCCCCCTCATGACTTGTGGACTTCAACTCCCAGAATTCCTGAGTCAGTATGAGGGAACTATGGCCCCCTCATGACTTGTGGATTTCAACTCCCAGAATTCCTGAGCCAGCATGGGGGAACTATGGCCCCCTCATGACTGGGGGACTTCAACTCCCAGAATTCCTGAGCCAGCATGGGGGGAAACTATGGCCCTCTTTATGACTGGTGGACTTCAACTCCCAGAATTCCTGAGCCAGCATGGGGGAACTATGGCCCCCTCATGACTTGTGAACTTCAACTCCCAGAATTCCTGAGCCAGCATGGGGGAACTATGGCCCCCTCATGATTGGGGGACTTCAACTCCCAGAATTCCTGAGCCAGCATGGGGGAACTATGGCCCCCTCATGACTCGTGGACTTCAACTCCCAGAATTCCTGAGCCAGCATGAGGGAACTATGGCCCCCTCATGACTGGGGGACTTCAACTCCCAGAATTCCTGAGCCAGCATGGGGGAACTATGGCTCCCTCATGACTGGGGGACTTCAACTCCCAGAATTCCTGAGCCAGCATGGGGGAACTATGGCCCCCTCATGATTGGGGGACTTCAACTCCCAGAATTCCTGAGCCAGCATGAGGGAACTATGGCCCCCTCATGACTCGTGGACTTCAACTCCCAGAATTCCTGAGCCAGCATGAGGGAACTATGGCCCCCTCATGACTGGTGGACTTCAACTCCCAGAATTCCTGAGCCGCTATGGCTCGGCTTGGAAACTCTCCCTTTCCCCTCAGCGTGGCTGGTTCAGGAATTCTGGGAGTTGAAGTCCACGAGTCAAAAAAGAGCCAAAGCTGCCTACCCCTGGCCTATGCCTAATGCACTGGGCGGGGGAAGAAACCCCCTTAAATATAAAAATGGTTTTTTGAACCGGCCATCCCTGATTTTGGCATTCTGTGCTGGAAAAAATCCCATTATTTCATCCTTTTACCACTCCTGGATTCTTGGCGCTCCTTCCGGGGAAACTGACAATCCCATCCCGGAGTGTTTGTTTAAGTTTGTGCTTGCAACTATGCGGGGGGGGGAACTGTGACCGATGCAGGCAAATTTCCTAGTTTGGGCTTGAAATTTGAGGAGGAGGAGGAGGAAGGTTCAGAGTCATCGGAGGAGGAAGAGAGACGCTAATTCCAGAGCCAGGGAGAGAAACTGAGGTAGAGAGGAGTTGCCCCCACTGGTTTGCAGAAGAATGATTTTGATTGATGGGGGGGGGGAGAGATTATGAGGATATGAAGCCACATCCCTGAGAGTCTCCAGACACCCAGCTGGGGAAGAATAGCCAACATTTTAAAAGATACACTCAAGATCCAGAAGGATCTCAGAAGACTTGAACACTGGGCGCTATCCAACAAAATGAAATCCAACGGTGAAAAAAGTCAGGTTCTACATTTAGGCAAGACAAACCAGATGTACAGCTATAGTACTATAGGGGGTACCTTACTCAATAGTAGCAACTTTGAGAGGGACCTCGGAAATCCTGGTGGACAATCCCTTAAATATGAGCCAGCCGTGTGCTGCAGCTGCCAAAAAAGCCAACACAGTTCTAGGCTGCATTACAGAGGGATAGAATCAAGGTCACGTGAAGTGTTAATACCGCTTTACAAGGCTTTGGTAAGGCCACACTTGGAATCCTGCATCCAGTTTTGGTCACCACAATATAAAAAAGATGCTGAGACTCTAGAAAGAGTGCAGAGAAGAGCAACAAAGATGATCAGGGGACTGGAGGCTAAAACATATGAAGAATGGTTGCTGGAATTGGTTATGTCTAGTTTAATGAAGAGAAGGACTAGGGGGGATAGGATAGCAGTGTTCCAATATCTCAGGGGCTGCCCCAAAGAAGAGGCAGTCAAGCTCTTCTCCAAAGCACCTGAAGGCAGGACAAGGAGCAACGGATGGAAACCAATCAAGGAGAGAAGCAGTCTGGAATTCAGGAGAAACTTCCTGACAATCAGTGGAACAGCTTTGCCTTCAGAAGTGGTGGGTGTCTCATCGCTGGAGGTTTTTAAGACGGGGAGATTGCAAAGCAAATGCAACTGTTAAGCAAATGCGGAGGTTGCAAAAAAGGTTGAAATACTGAGTCGGTCACACGTCTGGGAAAATGGTCCCATCCTGAGGGAACCGGGATGTGAAATTTTTAAACTGAAATGGTTTAGGTTGCATTGATGAATGTTCCTTAATTAAACATTTCACACATGCTTAAAAGTGAAACGGGCGGCTAGCAAAAATCACAGAGTAGTTATAGAACGCAGGGCAAAAACAACCACCACAAAATTGTATGGTACAGGCATTCCTCGACTTACAGCAGTTGGCTTAGTGACCATTTGAAGTTACAGCGGCACCGAAAAAATGACTTATGACCAGTTTTCACACTTAAGACCGCTGTGGCGTCCCCAGGGTCATGTGATTTACATTCGGATGCTTGCCAACTGGTTCATATTTAGGACGGTCGCAGTGTCTCAGGATCACGTGATCCCCTTTTGCAACCTCCTGACAAGTGGGGAAGCCGGGCTCTCTTAACAACCGTGTGACTCATTTAAAAACCGCAGTGATTCACTTAGCAACCTGTGGCAAGGAAGGTCGCAAAACGGGGCAAAACCCGTGTAATAACCGTCTTGCTTAGCAACAGTAATTGGGGACCCCGTTGTGGTTGTCACCTGTACTTAATGCGAGGACGAGCTTCCCGTCTGAAACTCTTGCCGTTGAAATTAAGAAAGCTTAAAGTGAGCGTTGAAGAACCACGAGAATTGTCTCTCTTTGACCCCAAGTGGACCTTAACAAACCCAAGATAGATCCCGTAAGCTAAAGATTGACTTGGACGAGCTTGCCGCGGATGGAAGGGGTGCCTCTTCGGAGGGGTGGGTGGAACTGAGCGGATGACGTCCTTGTGGCTTGTGCCGGACCCAGAGGGGCACGGGAAGGCGGGGTTCAGAGTGGCCCCACTGATTCCGACCCGTTGTCTCTTGTCCTGCAGGTCCCCGCCGGAGGGATGAAGCCTTTTGGCCTGTTTGCCATCTGTGCAGGAGGTTTAATGTTGTATTCCTGCCTGAAGAAATCCAGCAGCAGTGGATCGCTGACTTGAGAACCCCTCCCAGCCTCCTGGTGGAGAGGATCACACTTGCCACGCACCCTGTCCCCCGTCCCAACTTGGCAACAAGCACCACCACACCCAACCCAACTTCTCAAAGGAGCTTCTGGATCCGGCCCCCGGGACTTCTCGGAAGCACCAGCTCATCTCTTCGGCCAGTACAGGCCCTCGGCTGCCCATCCTCCCGTACTCTCTTTGAATCCCCCCTCCCCAGCCTGCACCGTGCTGTGCGTCACATCCCCCCCAAAAGAGCAACAGGACGATCTCACAACTAGGCTCCCACGTTGTATCTGCTCCGACCACTTGGCCTGAAATGACGGGACAAAAACGCTTCTGGCTGATCACATCAGGGCACTGTTTCCGGGAATCTGAAGCTCCTGTCTTTCCGAATTGGGGAGAGGGAGCATCGGGAATATCTTGGAGGAGGGGAAACGAGTCAGTGTGTTGGCTAAGCCCGAATAAAACTCAAGAGCCTTGGTTACCCCTGTTCCCCAACCCTCCCCCTGTGCAGCCTCTCAATTACCACAGCACTAGCTGATCCCCAGATCTGTCCATTGGGATACGTCCGACTCCCGCAATTTAAATACCGCGTTCGCAAGCATGAAACCCAGACAGGATGTTGGGTGGGACGGCTCCCCTTGTTCCAGCAATATTAGGGCCTCTTTTAACACTGTGACGCTCCAGAGGAGCTGCGGTCGACCGTTCTAATTTTTTCTCCAAGATGCTGCTCATTTCTGCCCTGCTCAGGATAGGCACAATCTATGCATTTTGTCCACCGGCCGTTTCCTCTCCTCCATTTTTGTAGTCTGGCCGTGCTGCTGCTGCACTGGACACAGTATCGACGGGCTCCTCAGAAGCCCTTCAATACTGTGTCCGACGCAGCAGCGACGGCCAGACCACAAATATACAGGAGAGAGAAAACGGCGGGATGAGTTTTTGTGAGTGATCCTTGATTCTTCAAGCCCAGCGCAATTGGGTGCGTCGACTCGCCCTCCTCCCCGTGCTTATTTCCAACCAAGGTTGTCCGCAGGAAACAGGGAAGGTGATCACGACGGTGTGATCGAACCTCCGCAGACAATTTGCCGCAATCGTACCATTTCGATTGTACCGCCGTGACCACCGTCCCTGATTTCCACATCGATGGTAGCAATGTTGGACACAACATCACTGGCTGTGTCGTTCTAGTTCAGAGTCTCCCATCCTCACCCTGCATGTGGTGTGCAGTCACCTTCTTTTATGTGTAGCCTTCTCTTGTCCGTTCACAGTTGTTCCCCGCCTCACCTGGGTCTTCTTCCCCACCCCGAAAAGGGGCCCATTGCAAACCAGCACAAGCCAACCAGCCCCAAAGACTCTGCAGAATGTTCTCCTCCTTGTCTTCTTGGTTGTAACTCGGTAAAAAAGAGCTTTATAAATATCCAGAGTGTGATTCTTTTTTTTCTAAGAGCGATATTAGGAATGGGTCATATGCTGGCAGGTTCGTTTTCAGTTTTTTATGGATTCGTTCATTGGTACAGGAATCCGTTTGATTCATAGGGCCGCTCAGCTCCAATACAGGTAGTCCCCAACTTATGGCCGGTTGCTCAGCAGCTGTTTGAAGTTCCGACGGACCCCTGAAAAGCGACTTAACGGTGTTGTTTTGAAATCCTGACATTGCTGTCCCACAAGACATCCCAAGGTGTCTATCCTGAATGAATTAAAGCACCACCTGTTGGGCTGGACTGGGCCAGGGTCTAACTCAGGGGTCTGGAAACTTGGTCCTTTTATGACTTGTGGACTTCAACTCCCAGAATTCCTCAGCCAGGCACGCATGCCTGGCTGAGGAATTCTGGGAGTTGAAGTCCACAAGTCATAAAGGGGCCAAGTTTGAAGACCTCTCGTCTAGCCGAACAGGACAGCTCTGATGGTCTCATCTGGATGAATCGGGCAGGTCCGGTATAACAGAATCAAGGGAAGGGACCGTGGAGGTCTTCTAGTCCAACCCCCTGCTGAAGCAGGAAACCCTCTCCCTTTTCAGACAAATGGCCTCTTCTTAAAAACCTCCAGTGATGCAGAAACTTCTAACAGGAAGCTGTTTCGCTGGCTGTCCTCACCGTTAAGAAGTTTCTCCTTAATTCCAGGTCTTCTCCTTAGATGAGTTTCCATCCGTTGCTCCTTGTCCTGCCTTCTGGTGATTTGGAGAAGAGGTGGACCCCCTTTTTTTCTGTGGCAGCCCCTTAAAAACGAGAGACTGCTATCATTGTCACCCCTGGTCCTTCTTATCATTAGACTAGACCACAGGTCGGCAACCTGCGGCTCCGGAGTCGCATGTGGCTCTTTGAGCCTTCCCCTGCGGCTCCCAGCCTCCTCTGCCATTTGTAGAGAGAGACAGAGACAGAGAGAGGCAATTGCGCTTCCCTGCTTCTCTGTCTCTCTGTCTCTCTCTCTCTCTGTGTGTGTGTGTGTAAAAGAGAGTGCACTCACACTGTTCTCCGAGGAGCTGAAAAGCTTATTGGGTGGGGCTCCTCCCTTTGCTGCGTCTCTGCAGGAAGCAGGAAGGGCAGGAGAGAGCTAGCTAGCCCAGCTATGCTGACTCAGGAATTCTGGGAGTTGAGGTCCATGAGTCATAAAAGAGCGAGGTTGCCTACCCCTGAGCTTGTTGGAGAACAGCTTGAAGCCAGCTTGCCAGGTGAGCAGCAGATAGGAGAGAGGGAGAGAGGGGGGAAAGAAAGAGAGAGAGAGGAAAGAGAGAGAGAGAAAGAAAGAGTGGGGGAAGAGGACTGGCAGACCAAGGGCAGATAGGGAGGGAGAGAGACAGAGAGAGACCCTTTTGACATCTAAAATGAAGATAACACTACATATATCCTTTTTTACCTGTGTGTGTATGTGTGTATACACACACACACACAGACACACACACACACACACACCTATAATAAAGGTAAAAAATGATATATGCAGTGTTATCTTCATTTTAGATATCAAAAGGGTTTTGTGGCTCCCAGTGTTTTGTTTTCAGTGGGAAACGGGCCCAAGTGGCTCTTTGAGTGTTTTGGGTTGCCTACCCCTGGACTAGACCTACCCAATTCCTGCGACCGTTCTACATTTTAGCCGCCAGCCCCTTAACCATCTTCGTACGTAGGTCCACGTGAGCCAGCCACAAATTAAAAGTCACGTCCTGTCCCAAGGAGGCTGGAGGAACAAGGTGGGTTCACTCCAGGCCGATCAAAGGGAACGGCCAGCCTTTTTGCTGTTTCTGGCTGATCCCCCTTGGATGGAAGAGGAGAAGACACTGCTGGCCGGCCTGGGGTTCAACTCCACGTCCTGAGCATGCGGCGTTTTTCTCGGACGCTGCACATGCCGGTCCAGCTCATGAGGTGTGCCTGTGGCCAGGCGCTCGGAGACACCACCTCATCGGCTATATTGAGCTCTGAAGACCAAAATGTGGGCCCGGAGCCAGATTGTGGACAAGACTGTCCACCACGGAAGGAGGACGAAGATGGCCACTGGGCTGAATCTCCCCTTTTTCTGGACATGCACGGCAATGACACTTCTCAACTTACAACAATTTATTTAATTTATTTATTTAATGGCCGTTCAAAGTTACGTTGGCACTGAAAAAAAAGGGACTTAGGACCGTTTCCCACACTTTACGCGCATCCCGCAAGGTCACGCGATCAAAATTCAGACACTTGGCAACCGATTCATGCTTACGACGGTCGTGGTGTCCCGGGGGCGGGTGTATCACATGATCTCCTTTTGCGACCTTCTGACAAAGCCAGTTTCACTTAACAGTGCGTCATTAACTCAACCCCTGTGGCCATTGACTTAAGGAATGTCGTAAAAACGGGACAAAACTGACTTCAGCAAAAGTCTCCCTTTGCAGCGGAAAGATTGGTCTCGATTGCCGTCACAAGCCGAGGACGGCCTGTCCTTGACGTTCCCAAATGTCATTCATTCATTTATTTATTCGGTTTCTACAGACGCCCGAGGATTCTAGTTACGCCGAAGTCAGGAAAACGAGTAAAACGGATGCAATGAAAACGGGATCAAAAACTTTGTCCAAGGGGCTGAATTTTCCGTTTTGATCCCTGTTTGAAATAATTCCCACGCATGAAGTTGTGTATGTGTCCTTGCTTGCCGCTCACGCAGAACTGTCCCCTTTTCCCCACCCCCTATCGCTGGTCCACAAAGCCAGAAAGCTCGGGGAATGTTGTCATAAAGCCGTGGTGGCGAACCTATGGCACGCGTGCCGCAGGTGGCATGCAGAGCCCTCTCTGTGGGCACGTGCGCCAACGCCCCAGTCCTAGGCCTTCAGCTGGGTTTTATAAAACCTTTTCGCTTTAGGCCTCCGCCGCCGTGTGCAAAAAAAAAAGGTTCAATTAATTAATCAATTTCAACTTCTCACGGGAAAAAAAATCTCACAAAGTTGGAATTGATTGATTGAACTTTTTAGTCCCACCCAGTCTGCTGTTATCACCACAGCCATGCCCAGCCAATTGGCCCCGCCCACCCAATTGGCCCCACCCACCCATCACCCGACGATACATGTGGGTTTTGGGTTGCAGTTTGGGCACTCGGTCTCTAAAAGGTTCGCCATCACTGTCATAAAGTCTTTGCTCCTTCCAGAAACTTGACCGCCTCTTCGTTCCTTTTGTGTGTTTGTTACTCAAGGGGATCCGAATTCAGACCTTTGGCAACTGGCATGTACTTAGGACGGTTGCGGTGTCCCGGGATCCGACAATTCCCCTTCTGCGACTTTCTGATCCGCCAAGTCAAGCAAGCAGGATTCTCTTATCAACTGTGGGACTCATTTAACAGCTGCGGCGATTCGCTTAAAACAATGGTGGTGAGAACGGTCGTAAAATGGGGCAAAACTCACTTAACCAATGTTCCACTTAGCAACGGAAATTTGGGGCCAGAAATCGAGGACTCCCTATATTTAGCCCTTATTGCATACAGATAGTCCTCAACTTACAGTCACCCATCTAGCGACTGTAGTTGCAATGTCAGTGAAAACAGTGACTTAGGACTCACACTTACGACGGTCGCAGCATCCCCATCATCCTGCGATCAAATTTCAGATGCTCGGCAACTGGCATGCATTAGGACGGTTGCAGCATTCTGGGGGGGTGTGTCACGTGATCCCCATTTGCAAGCTTCCCAGCTAGCTTCTGACGAGCAAAGTCAGTGGGGGAAGCCAGATTCGCTTAACAACCCACACGATTCATTTAACAACGGCAGGGATTTGCTTAAGAACCGTGGTCAAAACGGGTCCTAAAATCGGGCCCGCCTTGCTAAACCGACTTATTCCGTTTTTGTCATAATTCGAGGACTTAACCGTACGGCAAAAGCGGTCGGTCCTCGCTCGTTTCCTGCTCGATTTCCCAACTAAAAACAGGCCTGTCGAAAACTAAATTTCTCTCTTCTGCGATCGGACTCCCGTCTTTTCCTTATGCAATACTTGCAGCTCGCATCTGTCACTGCCTGTTTGGAAAAAGCACGGAAGTAGTGGGATTTTTGGCGTGCCCCCCCCCCCAGAAACAATGTGGAAGCCAGCTGGACGGGCAGCCCAACTTCTTCGACATGTGTGAAGCGATTGTGCCCTTCAGAAGACCTCTGCAGCTGGGAGTCGGTTGTTACGAGGTCCTGGACTGGCAGCAGCGGGATGCTTGCCTGGTGTTTGAACAGCTGGAAAGGACCCCAACATCTGCCCCCGAGAAGGCCTGGCTTTATTGTTCTCCAGGGAGAGGCTGGCTGGGTAGGAAAAGAGTCTCTGCTCTGTGTCGGCCTTGGCCCACGCTCCGGAAGGCAAGCTCAAGATCCAGAAGGATCTTGGCAGGACTCGAACACGGGGCCCCGCTGGACAAAGTGAAATTCAGCGGAGAGAAAAGTCAGGTTCTACAGGTAGTCCTCGACTTACGACGGCAGTAAAGCCCAACATTTCTCTTGTGAGCGAGATGGAGGTTAAGTCAACTGTGCCCCATTCTTGCCTCTGCTCAGAATAGCAGAATAATAGCAGAGTCAGAAGGGACCTTGGAGGTCTTCTAGTCTAACCTCCTGCTTTATACCATTCCAGACAAATGACTGTCCAGTCTTTTCTTAAAGATTTCCAGTGTTGGAGCATTCACAAGCTTCTGGAGGCAGGTTGTTCCACTGGTCAATTGTTCTCACTGTCGGGAAGTTTCTCCTTAGTTCTAGGTTGCTTCTCTCCTTGATTGGTTTCCATCCGTTGCTTCTCGTCCTGCCTTCAGGAGCTTTGGAGAACAGCTTGACTCCTTCTTCTTTGGGGCAGCCCCTGAGATACTGGAAGACTGCTATCCTATCCCCCCTCGTCCTTCTCTTCGTTAAACTAGACATGCCCAATTCCTGCAGCCGCTCCAGTCTGCAGACTCTTTTCAATTGCCAGAGTCCCGGTTGAGAGACGGGCAGTCACAG